TTAACTACGGTGGCTAGTATGGGACATCATTTTCAAGATTAAAAAAAATTCAGACTTGACATGTAGCCTATTATAGATCTGAAAGAGTTTGTGGTTTTTTAGGGGGTAAATGAGGGTTGGGAACATTGACTTAAAGCATTTTTATAACTTGGATGCGAAAAGCACAAGCAAGAGTTTTTCGTGAACAGTTTTATGTACAGCTTTTTTCAATTATAATATTTTCATCGGTTTTCTTTTTGACCCTATTAGTTATTATCTTCACAGCATGGAAATAACATTCTGTAAAAATATTAATTTTACAGTAGTTCACTGTTGAAAATATAATAAGCGGAAATGCACACAGTTTGTGCAGTCTTCTGCACATCACAAAATACTTCTCTTTATCAACCTTACACCAGTATATTACATAAAATTAGTGTCTTTTACCATCCAAATGCATTTTGTGTACTTGAATGAAAGAAGTAATTTTGTTTTTTTTATTTCAGAAATCTTCATTTACCTAATATCGGGTAAATTATGTCCAGCGACTCAAGGTCAAATTCAGAAGACGATAAAAGTGCTATCCATATCATTGGTATGAAATTAATATTTTCATTCTGTCAGTTTATTAGCGTACCTGAAAAAAAAAAAGATCTCGCAACCCCCCCCCCCCCCCCCATATATATATAATATGATTTAAACAAAAGACATCTCAAATTGCAAAAGTATAACCCTGTTTTCTCTTCAAGCAATATATTGATTTTGTTCCAAAATCGTAACATTTAATTGTTATGTATTTAATTGGCTAAAGCAATTTTAAATTCAATTTAGTAGAGGATGACACAAACAATACAGCATCATCAACGGAAGCAAGCAATTCCATTTCTACCCCTCCCTTGGTTCTGCCAGGCCCTGGTTACCCATGGGACAACAAGTGGACCCACGCAGCCACTAAAACACTTCTTGAACTCTATGTGAAAAATGAAGAAAAATTCAAAGATCCACACACTAAGAAAAAACAAATATGGGGAGAAATCTCCGAAATCCTGCGTTCTAAAGGTTTTACTTTCGATGCCGAAAAATGTGAAAGAAAATTCCTTAACCTCAAAACTGTTTACCGAAATAATGTTCAGCATAATTGTATGACAGGAAATTTTGACAGGAAGTGTTCATTCTTCGACGAATTAGACTCTATATTTCATTTGAGTACCAAATTGAAATCCAACAAAAAGCCTACCCCGAAGCTTCCAGATGTTGTCGAACCGAAAAGAATTCCACTTCGAAATCCAGCGAACGAAACAACGCCACCTCCAAAAGTTGTCCCAGTTCCCGTGTTGTTGATTCCAAACGGCGGGAAAGTCCAAACAGAACCGGAGAAATCCCCAAGCCTTTCAACCCCAACTCAAACTTTAGCTCCACAACATACTCGTATAAACATTAATGCATCAGTTACACAGTCAAACAGTCAACCAAATCAATCCTACACTAATATCGTCCATAGATATCGTCAGCCCTCACCATTACAACGATTTCCGAAAGCCTCAAACAATCTGATAGAACGAAATTTTCTGCTAGGAAATGTAGACCGCTCCCAGACTCTTCACACTAACCCTCCCGCGGGGACCGCCGTCATAGATCTTTGTCAAGAAACATCAGACAATTTAAAACGAGGCTCCAGTGAAGTAGAGGCCCGGACAGAACCGGTGAAGAAGAGAAGAGCAAGTGATCTACAGAGTCTTCTGGAAAGTTTTGAGAATTATCGTCGGGAGCAGAGAGAAAGGGAAGAACAGAGGATGCGACAGATGAAGGAAATGCATGAGGATGAGATGAAAGTGACTAACCGCTTTCTAGACATCATCCATCAATATGTTCAGAATGGAAATAACTGATGAAAAATTCATTCCTTTTTTTTTGCTGCCCTTTTTTAAATTTCGAAAAATGACAGTTCCCAAAAATATCCCCCTTTTCTTCTGTATTGAAATGAGTAGCAATTTTGTTAATGTCTCTTCAAGTAGAAAAGATATTAAGAAATGGATTCAGGGTATATTATCTGTGGTTTGACTCGACATGCTTCGAAATAGAAGCATTGCCCTTACGCACATAGTAGAACACTCGACATGCGATTAATAAAATGTTTTTAAAATTTACTGCATTTAATACCAGGAATTATTTAACTTTTTTTCAAATAAAGTTTATATGATATTAGTAATGTTATTGGTTTCGTTTTCTTTATAAAATTGACTTAAAAGTCAGCTCAGCTCCACGAAGCCAAAATAGTTTACGCTTTGTTGTCCCGGTCAAGGTTTTAGGAGCAAATCCATTCCCAATTAACTAGAATCCCTACCTGGCCCAGACTTCGTTGATTGTATCTTGGAATGCATATTAAGAGACTTGCTTCAAAAGCTGGAACTAACTTATATTTTCTAGATGAGTGATTTGTTTTTAAGTTTTTGAAACGGATCCATTCTAAATACCAAGCCCTGTTGTGTCTATAATTGCATGGATGATGCATCTATGGATGCAAGCACAACCAGACTTAATTAATCGGATGCTCGATCTGACCAATTTATTTCGGATGAATGACCAATATACAATTATTGGGTGAATTAAAAAAAATGACCACCAAACTGAATTTTTTTGGCAAAATTCAACTACTTGTAACATATTTTTCACTTATATCATCATATTGCAAATGCATTCTAGTTTAAAATCCTGAAGTGGCAATAGAATAGACAATTGGATTGAAAAGTTTCAGAATTTTTATTAGAAAAATTTCTTTTGAAAAAAGAAAATATCATTACACCTTAAAAGACTTTCTAAAATACATAATCACAAGAAATTATAGTTTTCTATGCTTCAAAATGGTAAAAGGGGTATAAATGATTAAATCTAGACCTTGAATGAGTATCTTCTCTTGTACATGTGACAAAAAATTGGCTTTTTGATTGTTATTTTACATTATTTTTTCAATTCTGGTTTGAAAAGTTTTAATATGAAAAAAATATGAAGCAATAAAATTCCCCAAAATTCACTTTTTTGTCCGTTCAAGTCAATTCTTTAACTCTAAGCCAAAAAAGAATTGTTTTATACGAGTTCTCTTACAAAAAATACTAGATTTTGAAGTGACCCTATGTTACATAATTGTGTTGCACTCCTGACATCTAATATGTGTTTTATTTAACATTGTTTTAAAAATTATAACACACAATAACCCATTCTTACTTTGTAAATCAATTTGCCGTGTTGATATTATTCATCGTTTACAGCAGGTTTTTCATATTTTGAAGACCTAAAAACATGATTATTTGCAAAGTGTAATATATATAAAATGTATTTAAAATATATGTGAAATGAGGAAAACTATTCCCTGAATTGACTGTAAAATTTCTGTAATTTCTTGATAGACATAGTGTTTCGAACATCAAATAGTATCAAGCATTTTTTTCAACTTATTTTTTAGTAAAGATAGTTAAAAAGCATCGGTAATGATTAAGCAGTTTTGTTGCACTCCTGACTGCAGTAAAGTTTAAAATTAAAACCATAGAACACAAACATTCATAAAATGTTGGCAACATCAAGTGGTAATGAAATTGTGCAATACTTATAGTCCAATACTTCATAATTAAAATTGATGAAAGTATTTAAAATTCGCATTTTATCTGGAATTATACCCTATTTTATGCCCCAAAACTAGCTTAAATGTATATTTAGAAGATAAAATACATTTTAAAGCATATTTTCCTTTAGAAGACAAACACGGTAACCCACCAGAGAAATTCTACTCATCATTTTTTCTTTATTTTTATTCTTAGTGGATGATTTATAATTCTAACATATTTGTTGCACTCCTGACCAAAAGCATTGGGGCCTTTAAAGTAGAATTGTGAAGTGAAAATTACATAAGAACTTGTTCTGTTGTTTCAGTGAAGTTGAGGAGGAATTACCTGAAGTTTATGACAATGTTTTAGTATGTTTATTTTTAACGTTCATTAAAAAAAATCACAAAAAAGATAAAAACACATCAGAATTGATAAAATTGAAAAAGGAAGGATTTTAATAATAAAACTGTCAATAATTTAGCATTAAATTATACAAAAAGATCATTATTAATTAATGAATACTTCTAAGCATGAATAGAAGTCTTTTCGTCACACAACTTGAATCTTTTAAAAGATGTGTTGCACTCCTGACCATAGAAATATGGATCTGAAGCACAGACAGATCCTGTAATTGATAAATCTATTTGGTAAAAATGTTCTTTTTGTCTTTATTTTCCAAAATAAAAATCAGAAAATCATATAATGATAATAGTTTTTTCATGCTTGGGAGCAAAACATCAAATGTTGCACTCCTGACATTTTGGGGTATGCACATATACTTGACTCTCATTAATGCTGCTTGTGATTTATATTATATTTTTAAGTTTTAAAATGTATATCAGTTATTATTTTACACTTCCAAAATTCTTTTTTGTCTTAATTTTCTATCAGAATTTCACAATTGATGTTTTTTTGGCAACACTTCATTTTTTCTGTTGCACTCCTGACATGGTATGACATTTTTTTAAACATCAGCCATGACCACAACTTGATTAAACAAAAGTTATGACAGTCCACATTTAAAGCTCAATACTTTGAATATTATCAGGAAAGTCTTTATTTTCAACATGAAGCATTATTTTTTATTTCACGGATCTCCAAAAAATATTGAAATTTCAAAATGTCACAAAAAGGTGTTGCACTCCTGACAATTTTAGCATCATTTTTGGGCATAACTTTTTTGATAATTGAGATATCAACGAGATATTTGGCAGGTATTTAGACACTATCTAAAGACATATGCTGAGACATTGAAATCTATTTTCATTGCCTGTATTTTTAGTGTGGGTTGATAAATATGCATTTGGTCATTTTTTTTTAATTCACCCTATTGCTTCTTTTGAAGAGCATGAATAATTGTTTATTATATGATTCAATGATTAAATGGTACTAACTCATTGAGCAGTTCATGCATGCCATCTTGTTTGTAAACATTTGCTGAAGTCGTAGTCAAACGCAATTAATGAGAGAAGTAGGATTAAATAAACATTAACAGTCGTAATAATTTGGAATTTTTAAAATCTACTGTAGTTGCTATGAAAAAAAGAATAATGTCAGGCTCTTTTATAGGATAGATTTTGAAAGAGGGTGCATTATCACAGAAAAATGACAGCTGAAAAATTTGTTGACTAGTCCCCACTAAAAGAAAATTCTTTTAACTTCAAATTTTGTTTTTGGATTGGGATGGTGTTAGGGGTGGGAGATTAAGATCCATTGATGGGGGACGAGCCTTTTAATGAATATTTCTAATCTAAATTAAAAGTAAAAATTTACGTTCAGAAAAAAAGTTTTTTGGGGGGAGGGGAGGGGGTCCACTACACCCTCCCCCACAAACACACCATCCAAAATTGTATATTCCCTAATGGTATGTTCACCCGAGTGGAAGTGGTAGCAGGTGAAACAGCTTTCCAAAACTATTTGTATCAATTTGGAATTTCTCGATCTATTTCAGACCAATGTGGAGAAAATAAATCCTAATATTCACCTGGAAGGTCACGTGCAGGTCAATATTAATATGATTTAGTATTTTTTCTACATTGTTCGATCTCAGCCAATCAGAGAAATAGGAATTATTCAATTAATTAGGGCCCCGATCTGCGGCCTTCCTATAGTGATCAGTCTGTCCGTCCGTCCGTCCGTCTGTCCGAGATCTCTTGTCCGGAGCATATCTTCTCTCTCCTTGGCCCAATCTGGCTCATACTTCACCCATAGAGTGTCTTTGGGTAAAGGGTGTGCAGTGACCTTGAACCATGTTTCTAGGTCTAAGGTTAAGGTCATAGCAGAATTGTATGAAAAATCCTTGTCCGGAGCATATCTACTCTCCTCTTGGTCCAGTGTGGCTCATACTTCTCTCACAGAGTGCCACTGATCAATGGATGTGCAGTGACCTTGAACGAAGTTTCTAGATCAGGGTCAAAAATAGCCTCTCTGTTTAAATTCTTTGTTCGGTGCATAATTTCTTTCCCTTAAGTTCAGTCAGCCTCAAACTTTGCCAATTGACTTAGGGTACGGAACATTTGTGATTTTCCTTCCATATTTTGATCGAGGATATGCAATAATTTTCATAGAGGATATGCAACATTCGTGATTTTTGTGCCGTTTTTTGATAGAGGGTATGGCGCACTCGTGATTTTTGTGCCATTTTTATTATAACAAGGATTGCATAGAAGCCCTTTAGACTCAAACAGCACATCCCTTAATAGTACACAAATGTTCCTCTTCAAAATAAACCCTTTTCAGCTACCTTACATTTTCATGTTCGTAGCTGAAAGCGGGGCCCTTTGAGATGGCCACCATCTCAATGATATCTAGTGTTATCTGTGATTAGATTCTTAACTCTATCTGTGTTTCCCTGCAAAAATGAAAGCAGTAATTAATATAGCGGAAATGTTGACTTTCTTCCTAATTATGCAGGTGTATGGATCAAACACTAATACATAGTTGGTGTTTTTAAAGTTTAATTGATAAATAAACTTCTATATAACTAACATTTAATTCATTAGGGCCCCGACCTGCGGGCGCCCTATAGTGATCACTCTGTCCGTCCGTCTGTCCGTCCGAGATCTCTTGTTCGGAGCATATCTTCTCTCTCCTTGGCCCAATCTGGCTCATACTTCACCCATAGAGTGTCTTTGGGTAAAGGGTGTGCAGTGACCTTGAACCATGTTTCTAGGTCTAAGGTTAAGGTCATAGCAGAATTGTATGAAAAATCCTTGTCCGGAGCATATCTACTCTCCTCTTGGTCCAGTGTGGCTCATACTTCTCTCACATAGTGCCACTGATCAATGGATGTGCAGTGACCTTGAACGAAGTTTCTAGGTCAAGGTAAAAAATAGCCTATCTGTTTAAATTCTTGTTGTTACTGTTTTTGAAACAGGTCCATATCAAAGTAACTATAAGCCTTATCTGGGCCAAGCTTGAATGGATGAAGGGATGTTAATTAACAGGGAGGCTGGGTCCAACCTATATTTTTTTCCGATGACTTAACAGGTTTAAAGTTTTTAGAGCAAGTCAAAATAACAGTAAGCCCTATCTGCATGGACCAAACTTTCAATGATG